TTTTACAAAATCAAAATTCTTTTAAAGCTGCTCATTTATTATTACAAGATTTAACAGATAGTACAAGTAATAATGAAAATAGCAATAGTAGTGAAGAATTGGAAAATGATTTAGCAATTCTTCCTATTAATACAAAAAGTACAGAAATAAAACAAGATATAAATATATTACAAATAATAGAAACAGAAAATTCTGAATTATCTGTTTATGCAGTAATAGATATTATTGATGGAGAAATAAAATGTTGTGAAGAAAAAGATAATTTACATAAATTATGGAAATTAACTGGAATGTGGCAATTAGATAAATTTATAGTTGAAAGTGTAGGAAAGATTTAAATAAATTAGGAGTTTGTTATAATCATTTTATGTTTGATCAAAATCAATTACATTCAAAAGGAATTAAACAACCAAAAGATATTTCAGAAAGTATAATACATCTTAAATATTGTTTATATTATGGAATTAATTATTATTTTTTTAGTTGTGATAAATTTTGTGTAGATCATTCTTGAAAATTAATAGGAAAATCTATACAAGTTTCTTGTATAGGTCAAAAACTTGTAATGTAATAAAAGAATTTGATTCTATTATAATTTAATTATAATTAGATAATAAGACACAATATATTTGTTACAATTGTTATGAAAAAGAAGGAGGGCACTTATATAAAAAACCTGGACAAGGTAAAAAAACAATTAGTTGTCATATTAAAGGAAAATATGATCAAAATAATGTTTCTTTATTAATACTTATAAGTAATTGGATTAAATTAATTGCTCAAAGAAATAATACACAATTACAAAATAAAGTATAAATTCTATTATGTCAACCTTTCAAGTTTTTGAATCTATTAATAATCAAATAGATAAAGCTATTACTCCATTACAAATACTTTTATATCAACAATTAACTCCAAGTTTATTTATTATAAAAACAATATTTAAATTATATAATGTTAAATTAAATAATTCTAAAATAATTATACCTGAAGAATATTTACAAATAGGATCTAATTTAGCTAAAAATATTAAAAAATTTCATTTAGAATTTAATAATAAAAAGCAAATATTAGAATCACCTAATTCTTTAAATGAATATCAATCAGTACTTCCTAAATCTTTATATTTTTTATTTGAAGAATTAATAAGTAATTTATTAAAATATAAGAAAAAAAAAGCAGATAAAAAACAAATAGAAAGAAATAAATTAATAAAACCACTTAATTAAAGTAAAATTAAAAAAACTAGTATATTTTTATCTTCTATAATTCTTTCTTTAGCTCAAAAAAAGATAAAAATTTGATTACCAACAATAATTTCTAGTCTTTGTCGTAAACCTAGATTATTATCTTTATTACATCAAATTCTTCAATCTGTAAATGTAATTTCACATACAAATCATCATGAAAGACGATTAGAAAAACAAAGATTGATAATAACTAATCCTACTTTACATTTAAAAATAATAATAATATTTGAAATCTTTGTGTTATTGATAATATTGATTTTAAAGAAAAATTATTTACTTATGGTAATATATATAATACAACAAGAATAAGTACACATGCTACTTTAAGAATGATATTTCAATTTGAATTACCAAATAATATTGAAACAATTAATGATGATATAATTCAACTTAATGATCAAATTTATTTATTTGGTTTAAATCAACTTGCTGAAGAAACTTTTATTAGTTTTCAATTATTAATTGATCAATTTCTTAATTGTAAACAAAATGAAGATAATTTAATAGAATATAATGAATTTGATTTTAATTTAATTAATACTAAAATATTTGAACAAATTAATATTGGTATACATTGTTCATTATCACATATTGTAATACTTAAAGCGGGAGGAAATCCTAATAATGATGAAGAAATATTTGCTTCTTGTGAAATGTATATTAAAGATTTAGAATTAATTGGAAATCAACCTATAGAAATTTGTTGTGATAAAGCAATTTTTCATAGAATTCTTAAAATTCATCAAAAAAATACAAGAATTAGACATATTTTAGGACAATAGTATACTTCAAAAGATATGTGTAATGTACTTTTAACAGTTTTTTCAAGTTATGAAATTTATAATCTTGCCGCTATACTATATGTAAAATTTTTAGATAAATTAGAATTAATAGTAGATTATCATTTTACATGTTGAGTATTAGATTTAATATGGTTAACAGTAGCTTGTGTAATTCATATTTATATTACAAAAAAACAATTTAATATTTTACAAATAGAAGAAGAAGATAATGATTTACTAATAATATGGTATTATTTTTATAAATAGTGTAGTTGGTGGAAAGCTCATTGAGTAGATATTAGAATAAGAAATGCAAATATACAACTTAAATGTCTTGCAGTATTTGCTGCATAATTTCTAGTTATAGGAAAATCAAATTATACTAAATCAACAGTACATTTTTTAGCTTTAGTTGCAAAATATCCACGATATAAAAAATTATTATATTATGCTGGATCTATTAATTTAACAAAAGAAGGACATTATTTTGCATTTGATGAAGCA